CTCAATTGTTCTTGTTTTAAAAAAAGCAATATTCCAAATAGTATTCAACTGGAAATTTATAAAACTCTGAACTCGTGCATAGTTGAAAAAAAAAAAAAATTAAAAAAATTTAATTGAAAGTCCGTTTTTTGTCAGCTTTTACAAAATAAGACTAAATTTTTCAGATATTGGTCTATTTCGCGCAAAATCCTAAAAAAAATATAGAAATAGATAAAATTGGGCACTATTATTTTGGCTGGCATAATGTTACTACGGTATTGATAACTTCATGTGATCTGTTTTTCAAAGTCACACATTTGCTGTGTTTTTTCTGGTGTGAGTGCACTTTGCTTGGCTAATTAGGTATCTAATTGTTATTCATCGTTAGCTGTCATGACCCATTAAAAATTAACATATCAATAAAAAGTATTATGCTAATTAGGTCAGCACTGTGCATGTGGCAGAAGCGCACAATGTCACTCTTATAACAGTGTTTACATTTCAACTGCGACGTAGTTCGTGTTCAGTGAGTATCATTGCCGTTCTATTTCTTGTACACGATCTCTTCAAATGCTGGATATATTCATCTTGTATATCAAAACATTGGGTGTGTTCCTGTCACTATCACTTTCATATCAATTTTATTTTTGGATTGGAACACATGGCTGCTACCTGCAATATTGTTGTTATGTTTTCATTTTAAAAAACCCAAAAACATTCAGTAATTTATTCATTCACAGCTTTCTAAAAAAAGACAAATTTCCATAATAATTAAAAAATGTATGATCATCAGGGGTGTTTAATTCAGTTGTCAGTGAAAGCTGTTTCTTTATAAATATGTATCAGGTGACATTTTATTTCACTATAGACATTTAATCTGTTATGATAAAATGTAACATTTCCATTCATTAAAATTTGTTTTGTTTAAAAAAACGAACAAGAAAACGATTTCATGTTTCACAAAATTGAACGTCAGCACAAAAGTATTAAATCTGAATTGTGAAATTGATGGAAAAAAAATGGTTAGGTCGTGAAAATTTACCGAGGAAATTGGCGGGAAAGTTGTGACTGTATAAAAAGAGCTATATAATAGAGCATAGAATTGTAAATACTGTGTAGTATAATCCATCTCATTATGCATGCTTTTTAGAAGAAAAGCACATGTTTAGTTGGTCTGTCAGTACACAGCTATACCAGACACAGATGTCGACTGTCTGTAATGGTTCCACAGAAGGTATATTAGTCTATAATTAGCCAACCTTTCGTTTTTGTTTAGTAAACTAGAGATTCTGTTTTTGATGCCATGTTTAAAATAGTGGTGATGATATAAAAAAAATTCAATTGTCTATAATTTGTTATATGATGACTGTTGCTTATGACAGTAAGTTGTTGAAGGTAGTGTAGTGCAGTACTGTAAAATATTTAATTTTAGCTGGAATTAATTTTTGGGTGTTTTGTAAGGAATTTATTTTCACTGATTTCTGATGAGTTGAATGTAAAATATAGGGAAAACAGTATATTCGCTGGATTTTATTTTCACTGAATCTTCCCCTCAGCGAAAATAACAAAAATAGATTCCAAGCGAAAATAAAGTATTTTACAGTAATTATTGAGTTTGTCCTTGTTTTTTTGAACCCTATCAGCACAATCTTGCCTAAAATTGAGAGCAGCCTTGTAACTGTTTTGGTGTGTAAGGACTGAACAAGATTGATATGTATATTATACCTGTTACATTAACTTGTTTACAGAGACGTTTCCAGCTATATTTTGCATGTTTGGAAAGAAAGTCAACCACTGGAAAATAACATTTACCGTCCATTCTTTCAATCAAATGAAATCAAAGCAAGTGTAACAGAAAATTGGTTATGGCACTGTGTTTAAGCTTTTCTTATAATTATTCTTTTAATTAATGTTCAAACTACCTGATTTATCATAAATGTTATTTCATGCATTTTGTATTCCAAGACACCTAAGCGAAACATGTTTCTCATGAAAAATTCACATTTTCAAGAAATAAGTGTACCCAGTGTAAAATGATTAAAAGCGATATTTCTAATAATTATAAGACTTCAAAAAATGAATTTTTAATTGCACAAGCTTTAATGTGAATAGTAACCATAGAGATAAAAGTTCATCAGTAAAGTACATGTTTGCCTAGAACTACCATGATGTACTTTGTATGCAAATTACTACAATGTATGTTATTGGTTCATTGCATAAATACACAAATTATGAATTATATTTTATTTTCAGTATTTTAAATTTTTTCAACACCAGGTCATTGTGTACTTGTTATTACATTTAATACATGCATTTTCTCTAATTTTTCCATCAAAATTTTATTACAACATTTTGAATATTTATTATATGTATTTTTTGTAATTTTTTAGATAAGTTTTGGGCCAAATAAACATATTCCATATTGCCTACACAGCTTGATTGAAATTTTAAAAAAAATAAGTTATTTCTAACTTTAATAGTGAAAGTTGTTGGCACTAAAAATGTTAGACAAATGTGGAATTTTGAAAAGTTTTACAAATTGTATAAATAAGCAAACAAGCAAATAAAAATGTATAATAATAGGGTCCCGCAAAGTATGCATTCAGGCAGTACGGGTTGACATCTGCTTGCTTGCATACTTTGTGATATTCTCTTGCTTATTTCATAATATCATTTGCATAAATATCAGTCACACATTGTCAGTTTTATTACCTTGATGGATTGCTTTATTTACTGACTGCCAGTGAAATGATTAACTCTTCCATGCCTGTCTGGAATGCCAGCAAATACTTTACTTTATGTTTGTCATCAGACACAGCTAGGAAATATCCTTGTTCACTTCAAAATGGAATGAAACACCATTGTCAATGCCAAGTCCACTTCAGTATTTGATGACTGGACAAAGAAACTTTGTCATACACAAATGTGCTATGAGGCTACATTACATTACCCTCTAAGAACCCAGGTTATATAAAAATGCTTCCATATTTTCTGGGCTATATACAAGTCAATAAAACTGTCATAAATGCATTCATTAGTATGGCACCTTTATTTTGCCTAGGTGTGTAAACTGTCATTTCTTTTTCTGGAATTGAAGTTTAGAAAATTGAGTTCAATATTATACATGTATATTGGCCTGATTGTTGAAATGTTGTTATAACAAAGCATTCAGATTCCATTGCTGGAAATGTTCATGATTTGATGATTAATTGTGGTCAAGTTTTCAGGACTGCAGCAAAATGTCCTCAGCTACAAAAGATTTAAAGCAAAATTCACAAAAATTTGTCTTTTGTAAAATTCAAGCGATGTTAATGACGTAATAATATTGAGGTTATTACGAAGATACTGGAAAGTATGCACAAAGACAGTATAGCGGAAGTATCGGCCGACGCACAGTGGAGGTCGATGGGACCGCATACTGTCTGAGTATCAGTATCCTTGTTATAACCATATTATTATACATCTTTCCTCCCAGGAATACATCGTGGGAATGCCGAAATCCAAAATGTTGAGAACAGATTTAGTGAACTTTTTTGTGCGGGGTCCGGTCAAATTCTAGGGACAGCCATGTTTGTTTTTATTATTAGAGGACGCTTAATTGCCTAATCAGTCCATATTTGGAATTCGCATTCCCTAATATGATAGGATGAAAATACCCAGTGCAATACCGCAAAATTACGGCACGCTCAAACTTATGGTGTTATGATGACAGATGTGTGAAGACAAAATACTGTACATAGTAATAATTATTGTGTTAACCCCTTGACAGTTTAAAGTGATATACACATGTATTGTCTTCTACCATTATATCACCAGGAGCCCACTTTCTATGTATTATAACATATTTTGAGTCCACAAATATTATATAGTGGTATGACTCAAGTCTTCAAATATTACATAGTGGTATGACTCAAGTCTTCAAATATGGTTCCTACAACAAGTTTTCATTTTTACTGGTATTGATGCCACACCCAAACTTGAGTGCTGCATTTTAGCATGTACCTATTTTTATACCGGGGGGGGAGGGGGTATAGTAAAATCAGTGTGAGTCTTACCTGGAAACCTGTCTAAACTGAACCCTATATAAACTGAACCCTGTGTAAACTTGAAACCTGTCTAAACTGAACCCTATATAAACTGAACCCTGTGTAAACTTGAAACCTGTCTAAACTGAACCCTGTGTAAACTTGAAACCTGTCTAAACTAAACCCTATGTAAACTTGGAACCCTATGTAAACTGAACCCTGTGTAAACTGGAAATTTGTGTAAACTGAACTCTGTGTAAACTAGAAACCTGTCGAAAATGAACCTTGTGTAAACTGGAAACCTGTCTAAACTTAACCCTGTGTAAACTTAACCCTGTGTAAACTGGAAACCTGTCTAAACTGGACTCTGTGTCAACTGGAAATTTTTTAAACTGACCAGTTTGTAAACCAGAACCATCAGAATCTAAAACCCATATTGAACACTTTTTCTAGGGTTATCTTTATTGATTTAAC